GGAGCAGGCTCTAATTACCCGCGCGATAGCGATCAATGGGCAGCGTCTCCGGGCCACGGCGCCAGCGCTCCTGCGCCTCGCTTGCTCTGCCTAAGTCCGCTTTCTCGCGCGCGGTGAGGATCGAACAGCGTCGGTTGGGTAAAAAAATTTCCTAGCAACAACCGGAAATCCTGAAGACGAACATACGAAAATTGGTCATTGTCAATATTCTTTTTTATTTTAAAACTATACTCAGTTTGGGGGAAATCAATTTAGTTTTTAATTATTTTAAAAAATGAAACTAATTAATTTTAAAATAAAAAATAATTATTTAAAAATAAATAAATATTTAAAACTTATTAATTACATTATTAATCTAATTGCTTTAATAAATTTTATTTAAATTCATTTTTAAATAGTTTTAAAAATTAATTCATTTTCATTAAATTTTCTAAAAAGCCGTCGGAGAGAAAAAGTGAACAAGCTTTTCTATGTGTATCGCCGGAAAAAAAATTCCTGTGGAAAAGAAACCCATCGGAAATCGCGCCGGAAAGCCGCCTGGAATGTGTGCCGCCGGGAAGCCGCCGGAAATTGTGGCCGCCGGAAAGCCACCGTAAAATTCCGCCGGAAATCATGCTGATTTTCCTTGTAGTTGAACACAATGGAGATGACTGGCAGAGTTGAAGTAGGCCAGCTTGGCCCCAACCATTTATAAATCATTTCTCAATAGTTTTGATTTTTTTTTTTTTCTTTTTTTTTGTATTTTATTGTTATGGTTTATATGTTGAGTAGAGAGATCATTGCGAATTTAAATTATATCTATAATTTTAACTTGTGATGTATTTGCTTTTCTTTTGATTTTGTTTAAGAAAGAATTTAATAAAAGAATAATTAAAAATATATTTTTTTCTTTTATTTTTGAAAAAAATTTTATATTCATTATTCTTGGGTAAATAGTTTTTTTCACTTATTTAAAAAGAAGGAGAAATTGAGTTTTTAAAGCCTTACATTAATATTAATTTTTATAAGACATCAATCTTCAACAATCTCCCTTCTCTTAGGTTGCTGTACACTTTCATATATTAGATCAAGACCGTCGTCCCCAATTACTAAGAAGAACGATTCATTCTATAACAAAAAATAAGCAATACTGAAATCATTCAACCAGGCAATGCCTCATAGATATTTTCCCCTTTTCAAGGGCTTTTTCATTAAAACTCATGTGTCTCGTGTGACTCTCTTTATTTGTTATGGTGTGCTTATATAAATATATATATATTATTTATATATATATATATAAGTATATATAATATATAATATATATATATATATATTATAATATTATATAAATAGTATATAGTATTTATATATATAATATATATAACTTAAACATGATACCCTCTTCTCGCCTCAATATTCTAGAACACAATAATATTATTACAAATTTAATATTGGAATTTGCACTCAAGTTGAAAAACCCAGCCTTGTTCCATTTTGAAAACGAAACCGATAACCATCCATTTTTTTTATATAATATTATAAAAAATTCTTTTCATTTGATTTAAATTGGTCTACAAATGAACCAAATCATTCCAACTTCCAAGCAAAAACTTGTTCAAGTTCATGCTCCTTTATCAAAATCCTATTCAAGCTAAGCCTGAGCTTGATTCAAGCTTTTGTTATTGTATCAAGCTCAATTAATTTAAAATAATAATTATTCAAGGTTAGCTCAATTTTGGTTCATATTAAGATTATCATGCCATTATCAACCATATCTTTTGATAAAATAAATGATCCCTATTGAGCCAATTAATGAGTTAGTTAACCAAATGCATCTTATAGAATCTCTTGTTATCTAACTAAATGAGCCTTATTGAGTCTATGCATGAACAAAGCTATCAAGTAGCTTGTTAGCTAAATGACCAAGCATTGTCAAATTAATAAGAAACTTTTTAAGCTTACAAAAATAAGCCTTTAATTCAATGAGCTACTAAATGAATAACTAAAACAAGCATTCTAATAAGCATAAACAAATAATTTATATTTATAAACAAAAAAATTCTAATAGAAGAAATAACAAGAATCTTATTTTTTTTTTCTCACAAAGAATGAAGGGAATGGCTTAATTATTTGTGAAATGCATATTTAGTTTATCTTTAGATAGAACTAAATCAAAGGATAGTTAATTTAATCACAAAAATTGATTACTTTGTTGCTCTATAAAAAAGCATATTGTTTTAACCGTTGTTAAACTATTTCTGAAAAAAAAGGGAAAGAAGGAATAAAGACATAAATATATGATATTGGAATTAAATTATTGGTGCTAGAGTATTGGAGGCAATAGAGTGAGAAAATTTAACATCTTAGTTTTATATGAAAATCTAATGTGCACATACACAGAGATAAAAATATTACAAAATATGTCAAAGCTTTACGTAATTAATTCTAAAAAGACAAAAAATCAAGATCTCAAAATAATTGAAATATTTTTAGTAGTGATACGTCATCACAAAATTAGTAGTGTAATGTCTTAGGCACTAATTTTGCTCCATGTTTTGCTCGAACGGTCGTGCTTTTGCTTAGTGTGTATGTAGAGTTCACGAAATCTCATAATGATGTTGTACATCCAATTATTTTATGTTCCTACACAATAAATATTTCTTGTTAGCGTATAAAATTTCTTAAATGTCAATAATGAATTGAAAAAAATAAATAAATTATAAAATGAGTGATGAAATATCATCTAATACCTTACTCTCAAAAACACTAAAGTTGTAAAGAAGCTACAATGATATGGTAAAGTTCTTAGCTAACTGGGAATGACCCTACATTGTAAAGAAAAGCATCAAGAATGTAGATTAGAACTGATGGGCCAATGAGTGAAATATCATTACCAAGACATGACACATTAATGATTCAAAATATTTATACCACACTGTTCTATTTGGTTTGTTGGTTCAGAGTTTGGCTCCAAATTAAGAGGTCTTGAGTTCGAGTCTCCCCCATCCCCACAACAACAATAACAACATCAAGCCTTTGTCTGCACCCACGTAACCCAACTTCAAGCATCATCATGTCTAATCATCCAATAGCCATGGATGGAGAAATGAACAAAATAAGCTTCCAAGTCAAATTTCCTTAAGATAATATGCTCTTCACTAATTACATAAACTTGTAAACTATAGAATTTTATCATGATATCGACAATGAAGAGCAATACAAAATGTTCTATGTTAGGAAATCTTTTTAGTTCTCCGTCATTAGTGATGTTATATTTCTTTATCTTTAATAATTTTTGCTATGCTTATGCTATAATATCACTTAAAGATGTATTTCTTTTTAGTATGTTAAAAATTTTAACTATCAATTAAAAAATGGGATTTTTACCTACATACCACTTTATAACATATATATTACATATTTAACACCTAATTCTTAAATATTACACTCATACCACCTATTCTCTATTTTCACAACAAAATTACCACTCGGTTAACAGCGTTACCTCACTCTGTTTGATCTTCCTTCCCGCCAGTTCTTTCCGCGAGGAGAACAGTTTTTTCCTGCGTTAGATGCTCTGTCCAAGCGTGTATCATCGCGATTTTTTTCCAGAATCCATTCGTATTTGCTCTTCCACCGTAGCTGCTCCTCCAAACAGTAGCTGCTCTTCCAGCTACCCGTAGAAGATTTTGCACCGTAGCTACTCTTCCAGCTACTCATAGAAGATCTTTTACTGTAGCTGCTCTTCCAGCTACCCGTAGCTGCTCTTCTTCCACCGTAGCAAAATTCTATTCAAGTTATGTGAATGCAAGCATAATTATGTAAGCTACAAATAGAATGCAAAAAAAAAAAAAAAAATCCAAAACCTTGAGGCATCCAAGTCTCTCTGACAGAATCACGCCTCTTCCTACTGCTAAATACAGTATTGATCCCAATAACAACGATCTTTTTAAATGCCGATGGGATCCTACAATGGTAGGAGAACCATCCAGACCCATCAGCTCATGAGAGCTCCTTGTCGTAGCCAACTCCATTTCAAGTGATGATATTGCCTTATCCAAAGATCTGACATCAATAAAGCCTTTTTCCTTTGTCGGTGGGATCCTGCAATGATATTTGCTCGGGAAATTTCAACTCACCGTATGGCTTCATGGGTCTTCGTTACCTCTCCCGAAGCTCGCAAGGCAAAATAAAAAGATCCATTTCGATGAAACCCTCCTCTCTGCTCCACTGATTCCCCTCGGCTTTTGCATTTTACTTGCTTCTCTCATTTCCATCGATTGGTTAAAAGCAGATCCTCCTTAAAAGAAATGAGAGAGAAAAATAAAGGAGAAGGTGATGATCCAGACTAGACGATGGAGGAGGAGAAAAGACGGCGAAGCAACGGAGTGGTAATTTTGTTGTGAAAATAGAGAATAGGCAGTATGAGTGTAATATTTAAGAATTAGATGTTAAATATGTAATACACATATTATAAAGTGATATGTATGTAAAAATCCCTTAAAAAATTTTGAATTATATGACGTGTGAATTTATTAACAGACCAAATTGCCTAAAAAATTATAAAATATTGCTTAAAGGGTCTAGTATTTTTAAAATTTTCCTTCGTCGTGAAAGAAATATTGCTGGAGTGCTGCTGCTGCAATTTGTTTCCATTAATAGAAGATCGGAGCGCATTCAAAGCATTGACGTCCAACCATCGAAGTCTCTCACGAATAGACCGACAGGGAGGGAGAGAGAGCGAGAGAGATCGTGCGAGAGAGCCATGAGCGAGGAGCAGTGGAAAACCCGAGGTGGAGAAGCTGGTGATCCCCACCACCAACAACACCTTCATCACCCGTATGAGCCACACCAGCTTGGTCCTCAGTATGGAACTTTTTCCGGGGTTCCGAGCCACCAGCCTCCGGCGATGGGTTTCCCCCAGTCGGCGCCACCGACTGGCGTCACCGGCCATCCCCCGTTTCCTGGTCCGACCTATTATCCCCATGGTTACCAAGCTGTTCACGGTAAAGCGATCACGCACGCTAATTTTTTTGATCTCTTATGCTTTACAATTCATGAAGTTTCTTTTCAAATAGAATTGGTGGTTTAAATGATTTTAGTACTTTCCTAAACTCTGATTGCCCAACTATTTTTTCGAGCTACAGCTATGGTGGCAAAATTGACTTAGGGTTTACTTTTGGGTTTCCTTTTCTTACATTCTTTCAGTGTATTGAAAATACATGAGATATGCAGAGAAGCACGCTCTTATGAACAAGATAGTGAAGCTTGGTCGCTCCTTCATATGCACAGGCATTAGTTGTTGAAAAGAGAAACTTTGATATCCGTTGATGAGGGATGTTTTGAAAATTTGTTCAGTGATAAGAAAAGATGAACTTGTAAGAGAGGAATGAATGTTGTTATTGTTAGCTGCAGCCTAGGTAGTTTGCAATCAATTATTGGTACATGCAATTAGTAATGATTTTGAGTTCCTTTGAAACAATTAAAAAACTGTGATCACTTGTATTTCTAGCATTCACATAGATGACTTGTTCAGGTTTGTCTAACCTGCTCTGATTTTGAATATGTAAAAAATAATCTGATTGGTTTGGAAATGAGTCATATAATCCGGATAGTGGTATTGAAATCCCACCCATTAACTGGCTTAATCATTCATTATTGATCATGCTCTATTTCCTATATGATAGTTATGTTGATGAACACCCCACATTCATTGTTGCTAAATATGTTAGAATTTTTAGCATTTTTCTTAGTTCTTCAAGTTAGAGGAAATTTGCTAACTAAAATAATTCACTTTTGGTGGATTATGTTAATCGATCTTGATGAGAAATCCATTTTCTTTATATTTTTGTTGTATGGTTTCTAATTTTTATTTATACTACCCAAATGTTGATATATATTTAGTATTAACAAGGATTGTTAAAATGGAATTTGAAACATTATAAGAAATGGCTTCTCTCATTCCTTAAATTATCGAATAAGCTAGTTTCAGTTTAGATGGAATAAACAGGGCTTCGTGTTCTTTGTTTATGTAGGATCTAAGAGGGGTTTATAAAATTGAGTATGCAATTCAATTAAGGAAAGAAGCAAAACCAGATGAATGAGCTATAATGACAAGATTTCAAATATACCGAGAATATCAAAATTCATTAAATAGAATATGGAATAATTCTTAGATTTTAATGCATATACTCTTATGTATATTCATCACATTTAATGTTTTGATTAATGTACATATTTAAATCCTAACTCATATTATTAAAAGAGAGTAAGGGTATGAATGCTGGCACTAATACATATTCAAATCAATGCAAATTCAAATTAAGGAATGGAAGAATTTTAGTTTCTCCCTATTTTTCTCTGTTGTTGCACTTCCAACAACATTTCTCGAGCTGCAACTTGATACCTCCTTCGTTCTATGAGCCTATTGATTTCATAGTATCCAACTGTGATTCTTCACTATGCACTATTAGTATTAATATAGATTCTAGCCAATAAATATTCAAATTAAGGAATAGAAGAATATTATTTCATTAAAACTTTTTGCTATTTTGTTTCGTTCCAACAACATTCTGCTGCTGTAGGTTGACACCTCCTCCCTTAAGAGTATATCATTTATATGGTATAGAACCAGGTTCCCAAATAATGATTATTCACAAAACTCCACTTCCATTTTTTTTTTCTTTAAACTTTTTTTTGAATCAGTAAGGTCATTATAACTTTTCACTCTTCCTCAAGCACATTCATGTAGCCCATCATTTTGATTGGAGGTCTCTCAATTAAGTTGACCATAGCAACTATCCTTTATAACTAGTTTTACAGAGCCCTTCATTGATTGGAAAAGCTCATGTGATATGTTAATGGATCCCTACCGCTCCTCCAAAGCTCATTCAAGAAATTACCAAAAGAGTTTGTGAAGACTACACGATTCAAGGAGCCATCGTCACGCCGAATATCTAATTGGAAGAATTGTTCTTATTCCTATTTAACTCATCATCAATAAGTAAAACCCATAGTCAACTAAAACATCAAATTTCAAAAATATAAACAATTCAAATTTCGTCAAGAGTCATGTACAATAATCTAGTATAATTATTTTATCATATCAACTTTACATAATTGACTGGATTACAAAGGAATAGTTCTAAAAAATGTACTTACAACCTGAACTTTTAACCTTATCAACCTTCTTCTCTACGCAGCTGGGGCTTTATTATTTCCTGAAATAACATGTAAACATATAAGGTGAGCAAACCACTTGTTCAGTAGGCTAGATAAGACATACTAAAGAATTCAATATTCATAATTAAAATAAACTGCTTAAGAAATAAATAGAAAGTTTTATAGTTCAATTAAAGTGATGTGAAAATTATTCGATGTTCTATCCATAACATGATTACAACAGTACACTTAATTATTAGCAAGGGTTACATGTCAATAGTATCAATTTATCAAAACAACATAGTTAGTTCTTGAACTTGTATGTGGCAAAATGAACTTTATTTAAACTTGGACATAACATTAGAATGAAATGTGTGACATTATTTAAACTTGAACATAACGTTAGAATGAAATGCATGACATGCATAGAGATTATGCAAAACATGATTCACATGTATATGACATCCTTCTAATATACGTTTAAGAGAGATGGAGAAATTACATATAGCCTGATTTCCCTTATAACCCAATTTTTGCGTATAACTCTACTTTTTCATCTCACATCTATTTGCGCAGGCCATTTAACTCACTTGTATTGCACAAAACATGAAACAACTACTACTTGTATTACCTCATTTCTCCCCATACATCCTCCAGCATATGAACATGACATGTACATTTCATCATATGGATATGGAAACATTGACATATTCAACATGTATGAAGATATATAGCATAATTCATGAATGTATGAAAGTAGCACATGATAAAATATGTTCACACACTCAACAATAACAATTAGAAAATCATTCATGAAGAATATTTATAAAATTATTTTAGGGCTTTTATCATTATATATCACTATCTATTAAAATCAACATAAATAGTAAAGCACATGAAAAATCGTATATTTAAAATCACTTATGAAACTTTACATTTTTCCTGTGCAGGTGCTCATAATCATCTATTCTACGATACACCAAAAGTTAAATGGTGGAAAGTTTTCCAAACTTATTTAAATAAAATAAATCTCCCTAACTTTTACCCAAATTATCCTAAATTAAAGTAGGGTAACAGGAGCCTAGCTTGAGACAAACAATTTATTTAGTTGTCCTGACAAACAAATCCATCTCCGTGGCCTCCAAACCCAACATTTTCTTTTTCTCTTTCCTCTTTCTGTTCTATAACTCCTCTCCCTCCATTGCTAGCGAATGCAATAATGAAATGGGCTTTGGGTTAATGTTTTTAGATATTTATATAAAAATCTCATAATTGTTCTAGTATCATTGCTCTCCCAAGAAAAATTTGTTTTTAGAAATTTCTCATAAATAGAAACCTTAGCATTGTAGTGTTTTAGCTCTCCCAACTACTTTCCTATAAACAAAGAAGACAACACCGTAAGGGCTTGTGCCCAAATGCTCTTAAGGACTTAAAATTTTGTTCATCCAAATATAGAGCTTAGCATCACAGTGCTCCCCGAACCAGCGTTGCAATGCTCTTAGAAACTTTTCCGGTTATAAATTTTTCTACTTAAATTAAACTAATAGAAATTCATGAACTCTTAAATAAACTTATAATTCTTACCAAGTTTACTTCAGATTAATGCAGATAGATTAGGTACTATAGCAATGGATAGTACAGCCACTGTCTTCAATCCTGAAATTCAAAAGTTTTTTTCTTAGGATCAATTAGTAATTAGATGAATCAAATCTACTCTCTTCTAAATAGTTGAGACTCAAATTGTTTATATCAATACTTCTAAAGAGTTTTGGAGAGTTTTTGTGACAATTATTGAAAATTATTTTAAGACAATGTCATACAGCTAATAGGTGAACTTCAACTAGTCAGTCAAAGACAAATGCATGAGATAGAAAATTGTAGCAAGATCTCTGACTTATGTAATAACTAATAAGTTGGCTTTTATAGTTGATCTTATTCAAAAAAATGGTTGAGATTTGTGAAAAAATGGGCTGATAAGAATAGAACCTTGGGAAACACGAGAAAGTTAATGTTTTGGCATTTTGGATGCAAGAAATGACCCTCTCACGCTCAATTGAGATTGCATGGATCCTTGATTGTGATGCTAGTAATCCCTTGGCACTAACCTACGTAATTATACATCTTATTCTTATATATATGTAATTAATGGAATCGGGCTATAATCAGGGAGGATAGAACTACACATTACATTACTCGTATTGGAGAAAGTTCATTTTTCATACCCAAAAAGGAAAACTAACATTGAAAGATGTCTATCTTGTTTCTAGTTTCAAATGATCCTTGATATCAATACTCCAAGTAACTAGAATTATGCTTGTGATTGCATGCTCACAATTTGTGGTGATCTTTAAAGGACAAATACACAAAAGCCAGTCATTGACGCTTAAGAAAGGAAGACTGTACGTTGTGGAAGAAAACTCCATCAATTATCCTTGTTTGTTTATTATTAAGTTAGCTAACTCTTATTATGAGTTTGAGCTTTGCCATTGACTTTTAGGCCTTGCCTCTGAAGAGTCAATAAAAAGGCTTGTATAATTTACTTTCATTACCTTAAAAATGTTCATTAATATAAATAATTTTTTGTGATCAATGCATGTTTGGGAAGCAAACTAGTTACCCCTTTTATCTGCAACAATTATCTAGCAGACTCCTTGAATTAATGGATACTGATATTTGGGTCCTGCACTAAATTTTTTCTCTTATGGTTGAAGTTTTATGCCATTTTCATTGCTGGTTTTTTTACTGTTTACCTGGATTTATTTTTTTAATGGAAAAGCAAAGTGTAATTGATTTGTAAATAAAATTCAAAATATTGACTAAGAATCACTTCCAATAAAAAATCAAAATATTACACACTTATGGATGGAGATAATATATATCCACAATTAAAAAAATTTCCCTTGAAAATGCCATTTCACAAGAAAAACTTGTCCTTATACTCAGCAAAACTTGATTGCTAAGTGAAAAGTTAAACATAGCAATGATGTTGGATTAAGTATGTTTTTCATCAGAGTTTTTTATACCTTTGGACTGAGACTTTTCATATTATTGTGAAAATCGTCAATTTATAACCTTCACATGTTCTCAAATATTCATCTCCTTTTGAAACTCTTTACTTGAGGCATGATGCGGCTCTTTGGTTCAAATGTATATGTTCTAATGCCTGAAAATTAGAGAAAAAAATTGATTCTAAATCTAGAAAATGCATTTTCATTAGTTATGGAGAAGGCTACAATGAGCACTGTTGTTTTAAAAACAAAGTTAAAAAGCTTGCATATCTAGACATATTATGTTTTGTAATATGTTTGCTGAAATTTGTTGAACCTACTAACTCTATTTGAAGAAAAAAAAAATGATGTTATAATCAAAAGAGTAGTGTTACACCAATACTAGTGACTCTAATCATCTCCCATCCTTAGAAGGAGATTCCATGCAATACTAATACAAGAGGACAAATCCACAAAAAAAAAAAAAAAAAGATTATTTATTACAATCACAGAATCAGAAGTCAAACTAAAATAATGATGCAAGGTGAAAGCCACTTATGCCTCCAACCACACAAGGAGGTGAAAGATCCATGATTGAAGAAGAATCTATGGCAAATCCTATTGAACGTGTTGAAGCCATATTGGAGATTTTGACAACACATGAAGGTGAAGCTCTCTACACAACCAAAGCGAAGCACAGAGTTAAGACATCACGGAAAGTGATGGAATCAACATACAATCATAAGAGCCCTGTATTAGATATAATGTCAGAGTCATATATTCTATAAAGAACTACATGAATTATGAAAGCCTTAATGCCAATAGTGTGACCCTGTTCACGATGGCATAAATGAACTCATCACATATGAATAATTAGCTCCCAAAACAATATGGCTTGAAGCAATGAATGAAGAGATTGAGGCTGTAAGAGAAAAAAAGGCATAGGAAATCACTCAAAGACTGGGTAATTAAAATTGTTGTAAGATACAAATGAGTTTGTAAGACAAGGCGTAAAGGAGTTGAGACTATTGATTGATTCTAAGATAGACTTATTGCTAAGGGATACACTCATATATTGTACTAATATAGTGGTGTAGATTATTGTAAGAAGAATTATTTTATCTGTTGCCAATTCTCCTGGTTTGCCCTTATAATAACTTGTGAAGTATGCCTTTCTAGATGGAGAACTCAAAGAGGTCATTTACATTGAGTAACCAATTTGATTTCATGAAGCCAATCGAAAGAAATATGTCTGCAAGTGGAAGAATTTAGTGTTTAGTCTTCAAGAAGCAATAAAAGTTCTTGATTTTAAAATAGCAATCAAATTATTCCCTTTTCATTTTCAAGAAGGAAGAAATGATAATAGCTATCCTTTTTTGTGTTGATGATATCGTTTCTATTGGAAATTCTTTTTCAATGATGAGTAGTCTTAAAGATTCATGATACAAAAAATAAAATAAAAACATGGGATGGTTGAGGTATCTTCTTGGAATATAGTTCAATAGAAATCAACACAAGCTAAAAAAAATATTACAATAAAATTATGCTAGATCTTAGAAAAAAAAATGCAAAAATAGGATTGAAACCTTCACTTAGACCCATTGCTTACTATTAAAGGCTAAGATTCGCTGAAGGAAGACCAAGGTAGGACCTAGGCATCTTTCTAAGTTTTTTGGGATCCATAAAATCTCTCTCCGATGCCATAACATGATATTTCTTTTGCAGTGAATCAAGCGTTACAAATTATGCATGAATCAGCTGAGGTCCGCATGCAAGGATGTTTCCAACCAATGCTCATTTTAAGAGGGGGAAGGGGTGAAGGAGGTGGGGTGTAAAATTATTTATGCAATTAACCAAAAGGTCAGAATTAAAGCCAAAAGGATGAGCATGAAAGACGAGATGGATTATGAGGATCCTAAGAATAATTATGACAAATAGAATTTGTAGTAATTCTTAGATTTTAATGCATATGTGCTCATGTAAATTAATTAGAATTATTGTATTGATTAAAGTACATATATGGATCCTTATTCATGGTATAAGAAGGGAGTAAGGGTATGAATGTTGGTAAACAATGCTAATTATTCATAGTATAGAAAAGGAATAACAGTATGAATATTGATAAGGATACTAATTCAAATCAAGGAGCGGAGGAATACTATTTTATGCCCTTTCCCTTTAGGTGAGCGTTTACAGGGTTGTAGTAGACAATCTTAGATCTGCATTTTCTAGAGAGACTGTTTTACCTGAAAGCATACTAAACGAGGCTGTTTTTTATTTCAGAAAATAATTTCGTGACTGTCATAGTATGCTTCTACAAACTTGCTTATTTGTGATAGTGCACTTAACATTAGTTTGCTTGCACGTATTTTGACATGAAAAAAAATATTTTGAGACAATCTTAGATCTGCATTTTCTAGAGAGACTGTTTTACCTGAAAGCATACTAAACGAGGCTGTTTTTTATTTCAGAAAATAATTTCGTGACTGTCATAGTATGCTTCTACAAACTTGCTTATTTGTGATAGTGCAACTTAACATTAGTTTGCTTGCACGTATTTTAACATGAAAAGAAAATATATATATATATATTTTGAAGCCTTTTTTTCCCTACCAATTCTCTGATTTCATTCACTCTTCTGCCTTTCTCCAATCTTCCCTCTCCTTCAAAAGGCTACGTGGCAGTTGCTGAAGGAAGGCCTTTAAGAGAGCCACGTCTTCCCTGCTGTGGAATTGGAATTGCATGGCTTTTGTAAGTAAACTTATGCTTTATATCATAGTACCATGTTTCTATTTTGCTTCCCTCTATAATCACAGTTGTACTGTTTTCCTAACTTTTGGGCAACTTGCCTACTTTTTAATGGTGTTGTGTCGCATTACTGCTTTTGCAAGATTCATTTCTGGGTTCTTTCTTGCTGCCATTCCCTGGTATGTTGGAGCCTTCATTCTACTTTGTGTTAGACGAGTTGATTACAGAGAAAAGCCAGGATATGTTGCTTGCACAATTGCAGTAAGTATAATCCTTTGTTTTATTGGTATTTGTTGTATGAATAAAATGCCATTTTCTCAGTATGGTCTTTTACTTGTTTAATTTTGGGATACAACTGACACTTTAATTGCACCATCACACCGAATAATGTTTTTTTTTATATTTATATCAGATGTAATTTTGTTTTTAAATTGCTACTTGAAACTTTATATTTCCTATCTGTACGAATGATGTAAAAGTGTAGATCGTATTACTGACTTCCATTCAGTAGTCAAAACTCTAGGCAGACAATTATGATATCGTCAATCAATATCAAGCACAAGTCCTGCAATAACTACTAAATATATACAATTCCTTCATATGAAATTTCTAGTTAAATTTGAACTTTTAATTGGCAGTCCTTAGATTGGTGAATGACAATGTGTATATCAGATATTCTATTCATTAAATAATATTTTTATTGGTTTAATTGATTTGATTAACTTTGTTAGTATCATAGCTTGGTTTTATAACTTTCCAAGAAAATGTCAAGTATATAAAATTCTTTTGGTTTTTTTATTTATATTGAATAAATATTGTAAGTAGCAGTTCCTACAAATAAAATAGTAGAAATTAAATTTAGGTTGTTTGGGTAAATACAACAGATTTTAGAAGATGCAACAGTAGGATATAGATCAAATTGATGTGAAAGATAATAAAGGAAAGGGTGTAGACCATAAGTAGCATTAGTAAAAGTTGTATAGAAGGATTGCTCGAAATAGCTCTGATGCTTACGTAGTATTCAAACTTAGAATGGTGGGGAATGAGGATGCCTAAAGTTCACCTAAGTGGTTGGCATAAGGGTTTTGATGACAAAAAATGTATTTAGGGGTGGGGGAGGGGGGGTTGGGGAAGAGGGTCTAAAAAATAAAAAGGGTTACGATGAAGCTGAGATGTTAGAGTTATTTTATATCCTCGATATTTCATTATTTTATTAACATTATTGCTGTCAATGATATTATATTTATTAGTAATTTGTTAGCAGTTTGTTAGTACTTTTTGTGATGGTTTTTTTTTTTTCATCTATTTCGGGGTTTGATCTTTGATTAGTTATTAGTTCTGAAATCCTTTTGGGAGATATTATCTCTTTATTCTGACATATGACTGGTCATTTCTGTACTTTTATATATATTTTTGTCATTTCTATTATCTCTATTACCTTTTAGGGTTTACCTTTTAAGTCTATTGCATCAAATTAGTATCATAATTGTGATTTGGATTCCTTGTATCACTAAATTGGTATCTTGAAAGCAATTACTTGTTGAATCATTATCTCCTTTTTTTTTTTCACGTGAATGAGCACTTTTGAACTTATTTCAAAATTCGTCAAGCGTAAACCCTCACAATCAAACACAAGAAAGCTAGTACTTCAATAATCAACTATATGTTAAATGCACCACAATAATGTATAAGAGTGTAGGTGAGAACCTTACAAGATTTGATAAGCTACATAGTGAATGATTCATGTTAAGCGTAAAATAGATAATGTTACACTCAATTAGATACCGTACAAGCTTATTATCATGTAAAATAACCTAAAAGTGCAACTATACAAATCTGCAATATTGTTGCGTTGATGATTAAACTACATTTGTGAGCATATAGCTAGTAAGCATAGTTGTTATGATCTATTCAACTACGCTAACTTACATAAGCACATCAACCATAAAAGGCACAGAAGTGTCCAAATGATATGATGGTAATATAAATAAATTCACGGCTATGTGAGAGCAATTAATATAAAACAAGTGATAATGATATCTACTATCCAAAATGATATGAGATAATGTATTTCAATTATCACCATAAGAATATTCAAGCATAAAAGATATTTAAATAAATGTGCCATAATAAAAAGTAGTTTTGCATGATTCAGCATCTAATTGGCCTATGTCCACACCTAAGCTTTCCCTTGCTTAAAATTTCACCATTCGAACTTACCACTACAATCTTTCACTCAATGAATTGATGGAGAAACCTTCATAACTTGCACAACTCTCCTTACGAGTGAATCCAAGGCAAATATTTATCCTTTATGTGCTAGGCTACCCAACTCTCCAATGCAATTAACCTTCCACCAAAGTGTTCCAATACTTTGGTGGTGGTTAGGATTATCACCAAATAACTTAAACTATAATCTCTACAAATACAAGATTGAAATTTACAAAGTAAAATCACTTGACTAAATTATCCTGTTGAGAGAGAGATCAACAAAACAATGCTCGTAGAAGTTTTGATTGAAGAAGGACTTCATGTTCTTTGCATTTCTTTTAAAAATAAGTTAAACCCTTGAGCACACTTTGAATTCATATTCTTTGCATCATATTTTCATATCATTTTGTTCTTTATTTATAACCTCATGAATGCCAAAGGAAAGCTCTAGAAAGCAGTTTAAAAACTCTTAATTCTTTATTTATAATCTCATGAATGCCAAAGGAAAGCTCTAGAAAGTAGTTTAAAAACCTACTAAAAAATATTGCGGCACTCTCGAACAACTGCAAAAACTAGTTATTGGTTATTTTTTGGTATGATCATGTGTACGATCTCTCAATCATATGATATGATTTAAGTTTGGGAAAACAGATAATAATTTTGAAAATTATATAATATATGAAACCATTTGCAAACAACTCAATAAATCAATGAAATGGTAATAATTCCCCAAATTCATTAATGATAACAGTTGTTTCATTAATCCTGATTGTGCATTAGTATCTTGAATTTTTAAATATATTAAATGAGCTCCAAAAAAAAGTTTTTATACATAGAAGCATAATTATGTTGGTAAGATACCATAAAAAAATTAAAGCAAAAACGAAAAAAATTAAACCTAATAAAAAATTCATAAGAAAGAAGTTATTTATATTTAATTAAAATATTTATGCATTATAGGATGCAAATGTTAAATTTCATGATATAGTTATGAAACTTATGCTGCATATACTTTCTTATAATATTGCTAATAAATTTCATGAAATAAAATTTCAACAGGTGATTATTAAATATTATAATACATGTAAATAATGGATACCAATAAATTTGATAAATTGAAAATAAATCTAAATAATTTCTCAAAAATCATTGATAAATCTAGAATTATATAGAAACATAAGTTAAATCAATTTTATCCAAAGTATAAATTAACAATAATTATGTTCATCATCTTTGAAGCCATTGATGGAAGTCTACTTAATCAAATATGATGAAATCTAGATCCACACTAGACTAAGACAACTTTGGATAAACCTTTGTACTCAAGTTTTATTGAATGCTCCTCTTGAGTCCATTTCCAAGTGAACATCATCATCATCATCATCATCATCACTACTATAGTTGCTACTAATTTAGTAATTTGTATAAGTGCTTCGCAAACTATCAGGTAACTTCATATAATATTTGTTATCATCAAATCAATAGTGAGCTAGATATGAGCCACCTAGGCTCATGAGGTCAATAATTTCATCCTATTTGATGACGACAAACCTATTTATAAAAATAATGACACTATAAAATTAATCTTTCTTTTATTATGCATGCATTAATTTTAATATAAGAATTTTGAATTCTGCTTTTATTGTCATGCATTTTCCTACCATCACTTATGATATATACAAATATAATAATTTTCCTTCTTTTAGCATCATAAAAAGAGTTCACAATGATTTTTAGGTGATATCAAGAACTTACTAATCTCCCTCTAAATGTTCTCTCTACAAAAAGATACGATTTAAAATTGAAAGCAAATTAAAAAACAAATGCTTGAATGAGTTATTACATTTAAAATTCTAAATAAGACATTCTTCTTTGCTCAACTGCTGCTTTTAATTTTTGAGATTCTTCAAGTTATGTTGGGAAAAATCGAATGCTACCCTTGGATTGCATAAGCAAGTGAGCTCTCATTCTAGAATATGTGTACTTGCACTTTCCTTATGTTCGGTCATGAGTCACCCTGATTTGGGCTTGAAATGCCTCTGAAATAGTTTTAAGTGTGTCTATGTTCGACATTTAGATATGATATTTTGATGCGTCTATGCTTCATTGTCGGCATGTCTTCACCAATCTCTCCATGAAGATACCCACAACACATACATGCCTTAATTTTAGTATCCAAACAAATATGAGTCCTCTGTTATTGATAATTAAAGATGTGTATAAATGTGTAGTTGGCGATGGGTATAATATTTTGCCTTTAGGAATCAAAATAGTTTATGATAAAATTTTAGTGTTCATTGATCTCCTAAAGGAAAGTACATAAGCTACATGTTCAAATCTATTACAATAAATATTTTATTGGATTTTCAAATAATTAACAAGATTCTAATTTTTTAACCAAATTAGCTATGTCATGCTTGAGAGATTCAATTCCTTAACTTTAAAATCATGGACTCCTTTTTACTGGAAAAAGATTTATCTTTAGTTTTTTAAAAGCTAATAATAATTCATAAAAAAAAAGTTCTTTGTGAGATAATTTGCTTATCTCATTTTCGTTTGAGTCGAAATAGGTTTGTGTAGTGGAGATGAGAGTTCTTCTTTCTTATTTTACTGCTACTCGAGCAACACGTACTTTTGTTTGTACTTTATTCTCCTTCTCCGTTTTGCTCTTTTTTTTTCTGATTTTCTTGAAGACATGTTTTGATTCACCATTTTGAAGCTTTTGTGTTTTGTTTTTAACTTTTCTTATCATCTATGGGATCATTTACACCAATCTAGGAGGTGAGAGAATATAACACTTCAATTTTGGTTTTAAACATGTAACATGTTTATAATCTTTTGGTAAAAAAGCAATCATGATATAATATAGAAATTATATTTAATTTATATAATTCCATTTCTTATCTTACAAATTTATCCAAACTCAAAATCGGACAAGCAAATACATGACAGCTATTTAATAATCAAATATATGCTAAGTATAACACTCAAATATGCACAACTGAAGGTGAGAAATTATACAGGGATATTATAAGCTATGAATTGAGTGA